GGTCAAGTGCCAGCCTCCGCACATGCAGCGTTCTACGCTGCCTCGCTGACTGCGCTAAGAAAGCCTTGCGGGGGCGTCAGACCCATCGCAATTGGAACAACATACCGCAGACTGGCAACCAAGATCGCACTACGGCCACTTAGCTCTGAGCTAGGGGCGCTGTTGCGCCCGAACCAGCTAGGCTTCGGGACACCTGGAGGCTGCGAAGCTGCTGCCCACGCTACCCGCCTCTTTGCACGCAATCTCTCTGAGGACAGCGTGCTTGTTAAAGTAGACATGCGCAACGCCTTCAACACTGTGCGCCGCGATCACTTCCTGCGACAGGTGCGCATCCATGCGCCTGAATTGTTCCCGTTGCTGTGGCAGGCGTACTCAGTGTCGACTCCGCTTTATTATGGCACGTCCGTCATCTGGTCAGCAACCGGTCTGCAGCAAGGAGACCCGTCGGGACCGGCTGTGTTCTCTCTGGCGGTCCAGTCAGTTACCAGCAACGTCACCTCTCCTCTAAACGTCTGGTATTTAGACGACGGGACACTGGGAGGTGGCATTGACGGCGTTTGTGCCGACTTACAAGACCTGATTCCAGCCATGGCACGCATCGGATTGGAAGTCAATCCAGCCAAATGTTGAAATCATCAACGCCAGTGGCGATGCGGTGCAGCACACCCTTTACGTGGAGAAGCTGCACCATCTCATCCCGGGCGCGGCAGTAAAAGACGATGCTGAACAGATGGTGCTTGGAGCGCCCCTGACCAGTTCAGCGGCTGAAACTGCACTAGGACGAAAGAAAGAGGAACTGGATCGCCTCATCACCCACCTCAAACTCCTAGATAGCCACTCAGCCTTCTACCTCCTTCGCCACTGCCTCTGGCTACCCAGACTCCAGTACCTGCTCAGAGCCGCACCAGTAAATCTTCAGCCGGATATACTAAACGAGCTGGACGTAACCCTGAAGTCAGCAGTTCAGGATCTGACCAACGTCTACTTTGACCAAACTAGCTGGCAGCAGGCGGTCCTACCCACCTCTCTTGGAGGGCTTGGTCTCAGACGAGTTACAGACGTCGCCCTGCCCAGCTTCATAGCTTCATTCCACCGATGTCAGCAACTGCTGTCTTCTCTTCTACCTCCTCTCTTCACTGCCGCTATTTCTAAGGAGCTGGATGAATCGACGGCTGACTGGCTGACAAAGGCAGGTGACATAATGACTCCAGACGCTGATGCTCGCCGCCAGCAGAAGAAGTGGGACTATCCCCTCGCAGAAAAGCAGAGAGATTCTCTGCTGGCTGCGGCCAACCAGTTTGAGCGCGCTCGACTCCTCAGCGCAGCGACACCTGAGAGCGGCGCATGGATGCGAGCATTACCGTCTGCGAGTCTCGGCACCCTTCTAGATAACAACACCGTCCGTATCGCCATAGCCCTACGAGTCGGGGCCGACGTGAACAGCAGCCATGTCTGCAAGTGCGGCGCGGTGGCAGACTGCAAGGGTCATCACACGCTCACATGCCGCTTCAGCGCTGGAAGACTTCCCCGACACACAGCGCTGAATGAGGTCATCAGGAGAGCTCTGCAGTCGGCCGGCGTGCCCGCCCTCTTAGAACCGCTCGGCATCAATCGAGGTGACGGCAAACGCCCAGATGGAATGACCATCTTCCCTTTCACACAGGGACAGTGCCTTGTCTAGGATGTTACGTGCGTCAACACGTACGCTGAGTCCCGCCTCGCCTCGGCGGTGGTCCAAGCAGGGGCAGCTGCCGCTGAAGCGGAAGAAGAAAAACGTAGAAAATACCCAGAACTCTGTCGGCGCTTCCGTTTTCAGCCAATCGGTTTTGAGACAAGTGGCTCCTGCGGCCCATCAACAAAGAGTCTTCTCCGAGAAATCGGAGCTCAGGTGTCCGCGTTCACGGGAGAGAGACGGGAGACGGAGTGGCTTCTCCAGCGGTGTTCGATCGCCATCATCAGAGGCAACGCAGCTTCCATCCTGCTGACAAGCACTTCGCTTCCTTCCCGCCCACCTCAGCGTTTGGAGGTGGCCAAGGATGTCCGACAGCGCAGCCAGTGCCAGCTTGAGGCGCGCAAGAAGAGGAGACAAGCAGGGTCAGAGAGCAAGGCACAGACGACCAGTCACGACCTACAGCTGAATCCAGTCATCCCGCCGCTCGACTCGGACAAGAACAGCATGGACCCACTCTACATCGGCCTGCCCAACTATGGGAACACCTGCTATCAAAACGCCACCCTGCAATCCCTGCTGGGTCTCCAACCGTTCCAGAGTGAGATGGTGTCCCTGATCTCGGGCCCGGTCGAAAGCGGCCAGTGCCGCACGCTGTGTGGCGTTGCCAAACTGATGGATCTTCGCCAGAAGGCGCTCAGCAAATTAGTCTTCAGACACCTGAATGACCTGCGCCATGTTTTCGCCGACATCGATCCGGCGTTTCGAGGCACCGAGATGCAGGACGCCAACGAGTTCCTGTTGCGCCTGCTGGACACAATGAAAGACGAAATCGACGCTCGTCGATCGACAGACAACCCGGTCCGCGACAACTTCCATTACCAGACCCTCGAGAGTTACAGGTGCACAAAGTGTCATGAGACAGTTCTGAAGCGCCAAGAGAACATCAGCTGGTTTGTGAGCGTACCGCACCACCAGGGCACCGAGGCGCCCACGCTGCAGGACGCGCTGCGGCTGAGCATGCGACCCGACCGGCGCCACCTGCTCTGTCAGCACTGCCGCCACGATGAGTGTTACGTCACCACCAAGATAAGTCAGCTTCCCAGGACACTGATCCTCCAACTGAACCGGTGTGTCTTTCTGGGGGATGAGGCGAAGAAGATCCGGACCAAAGTGAGCATCCCCAAGTTCCTCTCGCTGAACGAGTTTGTCGCGGACGACGTCACCCGGCCTCCCGAGTGGAACTGCACAAATCCTTCCCTGTGTACTAGGAAGTCGGAGGTTCCCTCAGGCCCACCGGCCGCCACCGCCGCCCCAACAGCGCCCACCACTGCAGGCTCTCCAGTGTCGGCCGGGGCCACGGCGCCGGCTCGTCCTTCGCCATCGGCGACTGCTGCTGCTGAGTCGCCGCCATTGCCTCCACCCGAGCTGCAGGTGTTGGACGCCGCCAACTCAAATTCGAAGCCGGGGCGGACCCGTGAGGACAAGGGTCGCGAGCTCCATGTTATCAGGAGGTCACAGGAGAGAGAGCCGGCCGGCGCCGTGGAACAGGTGCACCTTTCCGAGTTTTGCGTCCAGGAAGATCAGTCAATCCGTCCCGTCGACCTGGTCGGCGACTTTACGTATCGGCTGGTGGGAGTCGTCAGCCACTACGGTGGCGCCACGCACTCAGGACACTATGTGTCTGACGTGTACAGTGTAGGACGGGACATGTGGTTCCATTACGACGACCAGCGAGTCAGCTGCGTGGACGAGGCGTACGTCCTGAATGAAGGTCACCAACGGGACGGTTATACCTTCTTTTACCTCCACAAGGAGCTCTGCAGCCAGATAGGATGGAGGGTGGGGGACTGTAACTGCCGCACGGAGGATTGGCGCTTGAACGCCTCCTGACCGTGTCCGAGCGGGCATGTGTGTATGGGTTTGTGTGTGCGTGTGTGTGGATATGTACCGGAATTGTTTTGTAAAAAAAAAGTAATATAGATAACATCGAAAAATGCTTTAATTCGGAGATATGGAATTTCAAACTTGAAGTTTTCGGATTCTAATAGGCTAATGCATTGGGATACCCCTTAGAATGTGACGTCAGCGGTGATCTAACGATTTTAAAACCTTATACTAACATCTTTGTGAAGCAGTGGTGGTATATGTTATTTGCGCGCAACATCTGCCGCAAACGCCGCACTTCCAAAATGAAGTCGCTAGGAACAGCGGAGATCCCAAAAAAGTAAACAAAAGTAAAAGTCTAATATCTTGAAAACCGGTGAATATTGTTCGGTGAAATTTGGTAGATATTCGTTTTTGCTCTTTCTGAACCGAGCGACATCACTTTCATACCAATTCATTAACTTTTTTAAGGTGGGAGGGTTCCTTTAACTCGCTCACCACATAGCGACTATGCTTACGGTTTGACAGTGTCTTCGTGGCGGGTTGGTTTAGTGTCGGGCTATAGTTCGGGAGGGTTCGGGTTCGATCCCAATCGGATTTTTCCGTTCTCCAAAGTTACTCATTCCACGCCATAACTGGTTTGTGAATCGTTATTGATGCGAGTTGTGACCTCGTCAGAACCGCTGTGCAAAGTGCGGAAACAGCTGCTGTGCTGTCGTGGCTATGCATCCTGCCCTTTTCGCTTATACGGTATCGTGAATAGCACAGCCATGAATGCATTCCATATTTACCCAGAAAGAACTATCAACACGCTCGGTGGCGCAGAGGGTCTGCCCAGACCCGCGCTGCCCAGCGCACCGCTAGCCCGGAGGCGGTTGACGAGGCTGATCCCATTGACCTCGCGGTTGACGAGGCTGATCCCATTGACCTCGCTCTACGACCCGACTCTCGGTCACGCCACAACCGAGAAGCGCTAGCCTCGACTCAAGGGCACCCGGCTCCAATCATGCTGTCTAAAAAAAAAACGGTGATTGGCTCGCTGCCGAATCACGTGGTTGGGGTATCAGTGGCGTAGTCAGGAATGTAGTTACGAATCTCCTCAACAGATGGCTCTGGCCGACGATTTTAGAATACGGAGTGATCCAGAGGTAGACAGCAAAAGACGAGATTGCAGCTGAAAAGGTCTCGGCACTTGTAAGCTACATTCCAAGTTTCATGGCAGTCGGACAAAGAGGTCCTAAGATAGAGATGCAAACCCTGGCCAGCGGCCACCACGGATACCGCACATTACTGCAGCGGGTGACCTGTACCTACTGCCGGCCAAATTACCCCATCCTCCCCCACTCTGTTCACATGGCAGCACTCCAAGGATACGGCAGCTACGGTTGCACTCTGGCCAATGCTGGTGGAGCTGGCGCTGACGGCCTAAGCGGCGCTCGCTCACCTTGCGTTTGAGGGCGCGCAGTCGGTCGGTGACGGAGCCGAGCAGCCGGCTGACGTCGGCCACCGTCACCGACGAGTGGTGCAGGCTGCTCTCCAGATCGCTGGCCGACGAACAAAAGTGCGCCAGCTCGCGGTCCAGCGTCTTCTGCGAGCTGCGAAATTTCTTATTCAGCATCTCGTAGGGCACCTGGCGATGGCCGGCACCGGACAAAGGACGCCAGTCAACAGGCAGCACGCTCAAAGGCGAGGACGGGGGGCAGGGGGGGGGGGGGGGGTACGGGCCCACTACGCCGCCAGCCATTGACCCGAGAGTTGTCCATTTTGATCGGGAACGACAACCAACGGAAACTACATACAGGGTATCCTAAAACATGTTTACCCAAATAATCTAAAAGTACTCGGCTTTTCCAGACAGTTTCGTGACTGCATTATTGTCACTTAGTCAGCGGCATACAAGTAAAATAAACATATTCGATTCGAAATCACATTTTCCAAAACACAAGTAAATGAAGCGCACTCGCTTAATTCGACACACATTTTTCCTTTTGACCCGCTTCCATCCCGACAAACCCAACCTTACATGAAGGCCATCCCTATATAGCAAAAATTATCAACTAGATGCCGGCAGCGCTCTTGCGTTGCCTTGGGCCAGAATTGGAGGAACGGTACTGAGGGCACACACCGGGCAAAACCACCGAAACCCAGACTGAGCTTGGACTGAACCTGAAACCAACCGAAACATCCCAAAAATGCTTGAAAGCACGCGAGATTGGTGTGGAGATCTACCTACAGTAAGATATGAATTAACTGCACGTGCATAGTTCATGTCCCAGGCACCCCAGTGCAGTCATTTTCATAACATCATGTAGCGTGTGTCTAGTTCTATCAGTGTACCGACTTTTGTGTCGCTAGATCGACGTTTCCCGGGATCAGAGGATCCCTCGTCAAAACCGTTATCCGCCCCCCGCACGCGCAGCTTGCACCCCTCGGATATTATCTCGCCGGAATGTCGTGATCAAATGTATTCTTCTTATGACCTGCAAGTTTTGAACCAGTTAGAGCTGCCGTTTACCCTGCAGGCGTGGCAACGTACGAAGGGGTGCAATCGGCTTGCACGTGCATAGCTCATGCACCACAGAGTTTAGCTCAACCAAATGTGCATTATTTTGGAGGCCTTGCCTGGGACTACCATTGAACCGATTTTGAGGTTGATAGCTTAAAATTTCTTTGAGCCAGAGGACCTCACGTCAAAACGGTTTTCCGACCCCAGCACGTGCAGCCTGCACCCCTCGCAGACGGTGACCCCCCTGGAAACTGGTTCAAGGTGTTACCGATGTGTCCCGCCATTATGGCTTTGCCCGTGACCTCGGGGTGACCTGTAGCCTTGACAAAAAATTTCGTGTCACCGAAACTTTGAAGCGGAATAGCATGTGCCACGAAGCACTGAGCGAACCGAGGCCAGTACCAAAAGTTTACCTCGCCGGAGACGAGTCGAACGGTCCCACTTTCGTCCCGATCGGTCCACCCATTTTGACTCCAGGTCCAAAAAAGCTTGGACAAACTCACTCACATACTCACTCACATACTCACTCACATACTGACAAACAGGCTTGGCCGAACTTTTCTTCAGCAACCCACCAATGGGAATTTCCGGATGCAAAAGCATGCTATCGCATGCTTTTGATCCTCCAATTCTGGACAATGATTGTAACCATTTGCTGTGACACGTTATATCTAATACGACATAATATCGGACCGTTACAGGACAGTGCCGCCAAATTTCAATACATGAACACACCTTACAACTTACATACAGCCACGCCTACGCCAATTTCTTGTTGAGCCCGCCCTGACCCCTATGCGGATTAAAAAGTCCCACCCATCTCTGTTCCCGTTTTCCTCTGCATGTAACCCAATGAATATCGCCGACTTTGGCTGCTGCTGTGCTAAATACCGTGTGGCCGTCTCCAATTTCCAGCGGCATCGCCGAAATACAATGCGGACACGCCGAAACCGGGCGCCTTTTGCTGCTGCGCCGAAATTAAATGCTCTAATGTCGATCACCGCTATAAACGGCCGACGGCAATACTATACTGATACATAGCTTTGCAGTATGTCTACAAGAAATCCGCTAGTTCTAACTTGGACGCGTACGTACCGAAACAAACTGAAAAAGGTGTATAATTGCTAAAAATTGAGTTTAAAATTTGACGTCATCAATTTTGAACAGTTTTTTTTTGCAATAACTTGGCCAAAAGGAGGTATCGAGCTAAAATTTGGTATGTGAATAGAAGTCGGTAGGGGCTATCATATATATTTCATTTTTTAACTTTTTGCATTTTATTATATATATATATATATATATATATATATATATATATATATATATATATATATATATATATATATATATATATATATATATATATATATATATATACATATATATATATATACAGGGTGTTGCAGGTAAATTGGGAATTTTCAGACCTAATTTTAACATGCTATTAATACGGTGAATGAAAACACAGAAAGTTGAAAGTTCGCACGTGTATTGTGTCATGTACGCACAGCCTTGTCACTCGATGTGACCGCCGTCGGCGTCCCGCACCCTCTCGAGACGGCGCCGGAAAGCGGAGCACGCGCGCCGGGCCTCGTCCTGTTCAATGGTGCTGACTGCCTTCCTGATGGCCTTCTTCAGGGCAGAAACGTTGGCAGGAGTGGTCGAGTTGGACTTTTGTTCTACCACGCCCCACATCCAAAAGTCGCATGGATTCAAGTCAGGCGAGTTGGAGGGCCATATGTCCTTGGGTACATATAGGGGGATCCTCTGGCTCAGGAAATCTTGCACCCTCTGGGAAGCATGTGCTGGGGCGGAGTCTTGCACCAGCATGACTTTGCTCAAGTCATAGTATTTCATCATCCAGGGGATGAGAGACTCCTTCAGGATGGTCAAATACGCGTCAGTGTCGATCATCACACCAGGAGGCATGAAATGGGGCGGCATTATGCGGCCATCACCTGCGACGGCCCCGAACACCATTACTGATGCCGGATTTTTGCCTTTCGTCACGGGAGCCACTTCATCAGGGCTGTAGGCGATAGCCCGCGAGTTCCTGCGGTTGGCGACCTCTTCTACGATGAACTTTTTCTCATCGACAAATACTCTGACGTCACTCCCGAGGTGCTTGAGGAGATTGAGGACCTTCGGTGCCCTCTCCCTTCGTATCGATCTTGCTGGTTCGGTCAGGAGGCTTCGTCGTTTTCTGGTAAACGACTTCATCCCGAGGTCCTCTGACCTCTCTCACGGCTCTGCTGATGGTGCTCTTGCTCACGTGACGGGCACGCGCAAGCTTGTTCATCGAGGTCCTCGGTTTGGCCTGTATCGAGCGTTTCAAGCCGCTCAGGAATGTTGGTGTCCGTTTTCGGTCACTGCGAGGTGTGTAAGAACGTCGAGCGACATGCCCTCCAGCTCCTACAGTCGCGATAGTTCGGTACACGGTAGACTTTGGGTACCCAGTTAAACTTACTATGTCCTTCGCGCTCTGTCCGGCGCGAACTAACTCACCAATCGTTTCCCTCCGACGCTGCTCCATGACTGCGCGATATGTTAGGATTAAAATTTCAATATCAAATGAAAAACAATTGTTGAAATCATATTGTGTCAAATTTCCATGATGTTCCTCCGCATACCAATTTTTGTGTAAGGTCATGAACTTAGTCCCAATTTATCTGCTATATATATATATATATATATATATATATATATATATATATATATATATATATATATATATATATATATATATATATATATATATAAAGATTTTGGGAGTCAAAATTCGAAAATATCAAAATTATTTCGAGATAGCGGTTTAGTAGCCCTGGTAATTGTACACCTATGCAATAAACGTTTTTCTGTATCTTCAAAGCTATAGGCCTGACAGCTCTTCCCGCGAAACCTTTTTTGAGGGTCGAAAACGGCAGAGCATGACGTCACCCTGACGTCATACAGTCATGTGCGGCCAACCTAACATTGCCTTTGGATTTTGTTTTTGTCACAATGTGTAAAATTGAAGCCCGGAGGGGTACTGAAAGTTTGATGACGAACGGCGTAGCGGTTCTGGAGATATATCGAAAAGTCTTGAGGGGGGCGGCAAGGAATAGCCCCCTCCCCCACCAAGGCGCGGGTTAAAAGACAAAAATGTACCTTTGTCGGGCCAAATGCGTCCATAAGGTTTTCAGACCGCATAAGTAAATGTTTTTTTACTCCTAACAATGCTCCTAATATCAGGGAACTGATTAAGAGTAACCACTAAAGCAGAGGTCGGCAACCCTTTTTGGGAGCGGGCCGAATGCGATATTTGGAAGCAGCCGTGGGCCGGAGCATAGTATGGTTACATTTTGCTACAATCACACGCAATATTTGGGAAACATGACAGCGTTATTAATGGATCTTTTAGTTGACACAGCTCACATGCCTTTGTCATATGATGAGACGTAACTTTTTAAGTAGGTACCTTTACCAGATTCTGGCAGAGGAAAGAGTGAGTTTGAAAATAGAAGGAACTAGGGTTACCCGCGTGCTCCGCAACGCGAAGAAGGGTTATTTTTGACCAGTGAGTATTGGGTTGGTCTGTGTCGATTTGGTTGGTATCCATTTCGTTCGATTTCTTTTTGACGGCCAAGCATTTTGTAATAAAACAAAAAAGATACATCGCATCGAGGTGCCCGTGTCGTATTATCATGCGTTCTACTTTAGAATGATTCGATAACTGGCGTGAAGTCTTTTGAGGGCCATCGATGAATTTCGCTAAAAATGACAATGTAATGGTTTGGAACAATTACATTTTTAAGGATACTGTTGCTAATCATGCAAAAATGAAGAGTGAATATTGGACAGAATTGAATGCTCTATCCAATGGTACCATATTCAATTGCCAAAGGTATCAGGTTATGCAGCAAACCCCGTGTGATTAATAAAGTGGCACAAAATTGACAAACACCATTTTCTCCTGTGATTTGCACCACCTTGATTTGGATCAATCAGCTTTTCACAATTTTTATATGATAGGCGGTACATTTCTCTTGCAAATACGCGTTGATTCAACTCGCTCCATTTAACGGTCACCTAAAAATAAAATTTATTCCAAAATCCCTCAAAAACCGCAATTTTTTCAAATAAAA